TCATTTTTCAAGATCACTGTGTTGCTTATGAAAGAGGATGCAATCATTGCGACAAGCATGTATCTTTTGGTAATCCAAACTCAACACCTTCATTAATTTTTTAGCTTCATACATTGACTTGGGAATGGTGTTATCAGTGGGTAGTAGACTCGAAAGAGCTTCTAATAAAGCTGAGAACCCTTGATCAGACCATCCATATTTTCCTTTTACATTATACAACAACAATAATCCTGAAAGCTTTGTATAACTTGAACCTGAGTATAATGGTTTCTCAACGTCTTCAACTACATCCTTACACCTCTTTGGGTTACCATCTAGTTCTTCATAAACATTGCCTAACATGTCACCAATTTCATTTTGATCATGAAAATTTGATTGAGAAGGATTAAAAGTTGGATTTTTTCGGTCTCTCCATGCCTAGTCCAAACAAGGTACGTTTCCAGGAAACCAACTTTTAACAAATGTACTTTTATTTGTTCAGGCTTATGAAATTCCATGTTACAACAAGTTCTACACGGACACCTAATTGATCTACGATTTTCTGAGTTAAGCATAGAAAATTGTAAGAACTCATCAACTCAATTTCTATATTCTTGAGACAACCTGTTCCCATCCTTTATCCAAGACCTATCCATCTCTCAATTTCTGGTAATTATTAGATCCCAACACAATATTTAACATACATGTTTAAATAACATATGCAAACACTTGGAAAAAATCAAGGGAGAATACTTTAACCAAAGATCATAACTATTCAAGATTTTAAGTATCTGAGACTAGTTATTACAACATAGTTTCACTTAACCAACAAGGATATATTATGAACATACAAAGTCCATTATTAACAAGCCTAACAAAAGTAAATAAGCACACAAAGCCCGCAGACAGTAGAAGTTAAAGCTGCTAGCTAGTCTACGACAAAAATATGAGCGCCAAAAGACACAACCAGACACAAGCAGACACAACCTGCCAGGTTGCGACAAACAAATGGGAACTCAATGACTTCTTCCAACTACAAAAGGTATGAGTACCCTCTTTAATGCTTTGTATTAATGATGAAAACATTTCAGTGTATAGTTTATACAGTTGTTTTTTGGCAATAGTTTATTCATATACAAAAGAGTATATGAAACTTTCATATAATGAAAGCAACTGTTAAAAAACTTCAGTTCATTTAATACTTCAGTTTGTGTTAGTTTATGTTAAAATGAACTAGTTTATACAGACTTCATAGTCCATTAAAAGTAATGGTTAATCTAGGGAAAATGACGCAAGACAAAAAAATAAATAAAAGAAGAGAACCCAAATAGTATTTTGGATGGATGAAACAACTAACATATTGTTTTTAATTAAGAACATAACTTAATGGAAATGGTAAAGGTGTGGCCCAGGGTTTAAATCCCATGGAAATGGTAAAGGTGTGGCCAGGTTTGGTTAAATTTAAAAAAAATCTTATACTCCGTAACAAATTTAAAAAAATCTTAAACTAATACCCAGTCTTACTCTTTATTGCAAACACACTTAATGTAGTAGTGATTCACTACAAATGCCAAACAAGACCAAGAGTTTGGTGTTGAAAAGATTGCAGTGTATTTAATGAATAAATATCAAAGTAAAGATGGTTACAGTACTGAAAAATATATGCTATAAAAGTACCTAGTATATTGCAGTGTATTTAGTGAATAAATATCAAATATATCAAAGTCTATTAAGTGTATTGCAGTGTATAGAAGATAGTTTCACATTCATCTAAAGCAAGTGCTACGAACTCTATTTCAATCTCTTCGATAAAAGATCACCCGTTTCACATTCATCAACAAGGATTTTTTTAAATAAGCCCAATAGGAATACCCAGCAGGCTCTTATAGTGATATCAGAACAAGTTCTAAATCTGGTTCTTTTTTTTAACACAGTCCCCCATAAAAAACCTACCCAATAAAGTTCGGAAGTGTGGAGAGTATGTCCATATTCAAGCTCCAGTGGAATTTCATATCAATCTCAAACTTCAGACCAAAAACAAAACAAAACAAATAGCAATAACAAGAGAAAAATATCCAACACTGATTTCAGACAGACAAAACTTGAACTACGACTCTTATAAGGGGGGAACATAACATGCAGGAAAGAAAAACATAATAAAAACAGAATCTGGGAGCATTATTAGAAGGATTATTGGAAGGATTTCATTATTAGATGGTAAATTTGAAGGATTACTAAGGGAGGAGGTACATACCTAAAATCGACAATAATAGCTCAGAAAGAAGACCGAGGACCAACCGGCCGTGAGATGCGCAGCAGACCGAAGAAACCGATGGATGAGAGAGCAGGATCGATGGAGAAACCGGTGATGGCCGGAGAATCGTGCTCGCAGATAGGTAGGGTTAAACGGGAGAGCTAGCTTAGGCCATCGATGATTTTGGAAGCAAGTCTGGAACGGGTGAGCTGATGTATGGCGCTAAGTGTAATACTTAGTAAACTGATATGGATATGTGGTACGTATAGTAGCTGGACCGAGCGGCCCATCGATGCCGGCCTGGCCTTATTGCTTCCGTAAAAAATGTTTAGTGTCACTATTTGAGCCTGATGTATTTGTGTTAGTAAATAGTGACATTTTTGTGTTATTAGGGATTTTATATCAGAAAGCGTCACTACAAAAGCGTCACTGTAAGCCAGTTTTCTACTAGTGTAATTTGTTGCACATTTTTAACTTTGCTCAAATTAAACCAATAATATACGAGTATAATGCAGTGGCATTTTGATAAATATCATAACAACACGAAAGAATGCAATAGATGAGCTTCATTGTGCACCACATCGAGATCAATGTGGTTCTCATGTTAAATTAAGTCTTGTTCTTATTTAAGCCGGAATCTGATGCATTATACATCTAGAAGTGCATACAATTTAAAATTGACATTCAAAATAAGTCACATATTATGTAAAAGTGATTGATTATTATAGTGCATGCATTAAGTATAAAAGTGCACTTACCTAAGCTTATCATGTCACATTTTTTGTAGTGTGCACCTTGAAAGTGAAAATGTATATAATAAAATGCATAACACTTGAATTAGTTGTGTATTCACCTTTTCTTGCACTAGTTAGAGCTATCCATTGCATACTAGCAATATTATGTTAAGACTTGGATAATAAGTGCACAATAGTTTAACCAAATGTGCATACAATTTTTATACATCCTGCATTAACACTTTTCCATAGCATATTTATTACATTTATGAGACAGAACAATCATAAAACTCAGTTACGTTTACCTTTTATACGAAGTGCATAATAAGTTAAATAAAAGTGCATTAACTTAAGTATTAATATATATATATATATATATATATATATATATAGGGTTGGGTTCTAATGAGAAGACATCTTAACGTGAGAAGTGAGAAGTTACACATTTACCTATTTCTGATGCACTTTTTTGCTAATCTGACGCACTTTTTGTGATGGCAGAAAAGTTCCGATTAATTACGGAAATGCCACCGCGTCTTGCATCACTTTTTTAATCTTTTTTGCACTTTCCCATGCACTTTTTTGCTAATCTGATGCACAGATCTTAAATTGAACGCACAAGATGCATTCTCACTTCTTACGATAAGCACTCTTCTCATTTGATCCTTATTCTATATATATATATATATATATATATATATATATATATATATATATATATATATATATATAGTAGTGTTCCGGTCAGGCCTTCCTGACCGAAACCGCCGTCCGGTCGACGGCTTTTGGGGCCCTTCCCGGTAGATTGTTTTGATGAAATTTTTATGGAATGTTATTCATAAAGTCTAGTTTATTCACAAAAAAATTCAGCTAAAAACTCAATCCGGAAGGTCGTCAAATGATTTTTTGAAGTTAACTGCGCAAAAAATACATATAAAACGCAGTTAACTTCCAAAAATCATTCTATGACCTTCTGGATTGAGTTTTTAGCTGAAGTTTTTTGTGGATAAACTAGACTTGATGAAGAACATGCCATAAAAATTTCATCGAAAAAAGCCACCGGGAAGGGCCCCAAACTCCGTCTGCCGGACGGCGGTTCTGGTCCTGAATTCCGGACCTGAACATTTGTCTATATATATATATAGGGGGAGGTTCAAATACAAAGTACTACTTATATGAAAAATGAGAAGTAATCTTAGCCGTTAAAATGAGAAAATGAATGAATCATACTCCCTCCGTCCCTTATAACTTTGCCAACTTTTCATTTTTGGATGTCCCATTAACTTTGCCACTTTCTTTTTTAAGTAAAGAATTTGTGGTTTTAGTTAGTTCTCTCTCCTCTGCACAAACCTCAGCCACACAGTTTTTACTTTATTAATCCCCGTGCCGGTCAAACTTGGCAAAATTATTAGGGACAGAGGGAGTATCAATTTTAAAGTGGAAAATTCGGTGCCAATAGTGTAATATTAAAAAATTCGGTGCCAATAGTGTAAATGATAAATGTGCATGACTATGTAGAAAAGATGCATTGGAGTAACACAAAAGTGCATCACTTTTTAGGGTGGAAAGCAACAAGTATAGAAATCGTTTGTGTTATTTTTTTAGTAGGTGAATATGCACTCTTAGATATGGCATATGCACTTTTACTATTATGTATTACACATTTTAGTTTACCGTGAGTTTTTGATCCACTCCATTCATTTTGAAGTGGTCAAGGGCTTAGATCACTTCTCACCTTTCATCAAAAAATCCCATCGGAAAAGGCCCTAAATGGCCTTGTCCAGGCGACTTGACAGGATTCGCTGTCCGGCCGAAGTCATTTGGGGTCCTTACCAGTTGAATTTTTTGATGAAATGTTTTTGTTTTTCATCAAATCTAGTTCATGCCGACCTAATTTCAGTTAAAATTCATTCGGGAAAATGGTTAAATAATTTATTTACAAACATTGCACATTATATGTATACAAACATTGCACATTATATGTATATAAACGGCGTAGTGTTTTTAAAATACACCAAAATGTATTTTGTGTATGACAAACAAAATAGCCTTCCCACAAAATTGTGTAGGCATTTTGTTTTTGTTTTTTGTGTACAAGTCTCCCTGAAATTTGCCGAGACAAAGTGAGGAGAAAGGCAATGGACGTGCAAGCATCTATCTACCTTTTCTTTTCTTTTCTTTCTTTCCGTTCATTTTACTCTGTTTGTACAATTTTATCCAAGGATACAAGAACGTCAAACGTGTGTGCATTGGCAGAGCGAGAAGGGGAGGTGAATCGAAAATGTCGAAGCAATTCAAGCTCAATCTCACCTCACACCCAAATTTCTGCCCGTCAACGGCAATCCACTTCTCTCTACCCCCCTCTCTTCTTTCTTCTTGCTTTCGTCTCCCTGCACCTTTGTCCTGTTGCCTCTCCTCCTCAACAACCCTTCCGAGGCACACCTCAGAAGGACAATTTTTAAAAACAAAATACAAACTTTACATTTACGCAGGGGTTGTTATTTTTATATTGTACGAACGAAGAAGGAATTATCATGTTTCGTTTCTTTTCTGCAGATTAAATTAGTTATTTATTCGTTGTTTAAAACATATACACAGAGAGGGGGTTGTAGCTGTGTGTATATTTTCCGTATATCAGATTTCTTTGATTGAAGGAGGCTCAGAATGGCCGCGATTGATGTGAGGTTATTGATTGTGGCTGTCCTAGTGATGGTGGCGGATGGGAATTTGGTGTTCAAGGTGAAGCATAAGTACGGTGGGCGTGCCAGCTCCGTATTGACAGAGCTTAAGACTCATGATTCCCGTCGCCATGGACGAATGCTGTCTTCCGTTGACTTCCAATTGGGCGGAAATGGCCAGCCCACTGATGCCGCGTTAGTCATCTATCAATTTGTTTCTAAATTTTTCGTTTAGAAGAAGTGCTCCTTAGTTTTGGCTGCCTGCCTGCAAGTTATTTGTGTTAACGGTTTCTTATACTCATCTGGGTAGTGCACATCTGCGTATGTTCTCTGGGTTTCGTGGTCATCATTTCCCTCATTTGGTCAATATTCTATGCAAAAATGATTTTTTACATATGAAATGTACATAAAATTTATGGGCAAGTATTTTGAGAGGTCTACTTTTGAAAAAAATAGCTCACAGTTGGACATGTTATGATTGGGTTAATTAAAAGTGCGACTATAGAGATTGGGGAGAAAATTAAATGGAAACAACTGATGAGGGAAGAAAAATGGAGGAGAGAACTTGGGGTTTATAAGAAAGAAAAAGGGGGAGATGAAAAGAGAGGAGTGAGAAGCTCAGCATTATGGATGGAAGAGATGAGAATGTTTTAGTGCATATTTTATGAGCTGTTGAGCAAGGGACATCCATTTTCACTTGATTTCCTTCCCATTCTGAAGGATAAAGATTCTTCACTCATTCCCCCCATATTTGGCTATTTCGCCTGATTAGCATGTGCTTTTTTATTCAATTAAGTAGTATTAATCAGCATGCATTTGTACTCTTAGAAACATAATACACTAAATGATGTTCCTTTCCAACACTATCTTGGTTGATTGCATTTCTTCTACCCTAAAAACAAAATCTCATTATGACCTTGTAATGATATATGGAAATTTCCACTCTAACATTCACTTATTGATTTTGCCTAAAACACTGACAAATTTCTGTGTGCCGTGACTTTGTTTTGCATGCTTTTTGGGGTTAAATTCTTTGATGATTAAAATCGCAGGCTGTACTATACAAAGCTTTCAATTGGGACTCCTTCACATGACTATCATGTCCAGGTTGATACTGGAAGTGACATCCTGTGGGTGAATTGTGCTGGCTGTGACAAGTGTCCTAAAAAGAGCAACCTTGGGGTGCATTCTTTGTTCTGCATCTCCCCCCATTTTGTGTTTTCCTTTACTTTTCTTTTTCATAACATGTTGCTCTCTGGTGGTTTCTTGTATAACAGATAGAGTTGAAGCTTTATGATGTAAAGGCCTCTTCGACAGCACAGGCTGTTACTTGTGACCAACAGCTTTGCACAACTATGTTCAATGCCCCATATACTGATTGCAAGGTTGGAATGTCTTGTGAATATCAAGTTACTTATGGGGATGGAAGTGCCACTGCAGGATACTTTATTCGAGATGATGTTCATTTTGATCAAATAACCGGAAACCTTCAAACCTCATCCATGAATGGGCCAATAGGATTTGGGTAAGTTGGCAGTGTTTCCTTGTGTTTTATTTTAATTTTATATTTTAGTATGCACTGATGCTTGTTTGAACAGTTTGACTATATTTATGTCCTTATTAGGATGTTGGCCAAGAATCCTTTATAGGTTGAGTGTTGTTAGAGTCCCAATGACATTGAAACATTAAAGTTAGACATTTGGTTATATAGTGTCTTGATTATACTGGCTAATTGATCGGATTCAATCTTTTGATGTTGTTTACCCCAAGTGCCTCATTACCCAACCCAAATCCTGGATTATATCATGATGTGGTCAATTTCGTTTCTGCAATTATCTGTTAGAAAGTCAATCCTAGCAGGCCGTAATCCTTTAGACTGATTGTTGGTCTGAATATATTGCCGCTTCCCTTGGCCGAACTAACTCGTTTATCCTTCTAGAAATCCCCTAATGCCCCAAATGCAAGCAAGCAATTGGTTAAATTTAAATGTATACATAATTGTAATGTTTTGAGTAAGACTAGCTAATTGATGAGATTCAATCTATTAATGTAGTTTGATGCAAGTGCGTTATAATCCAGTTGAGTGGCCCAATCCCAATCCTGAACCGTATATAATGTCTCGAGTAAGACTAGCTAATTGATGAGATTCAATCTATTAGTGTAGTTTGATGCAAGTGCGTTGTGATCTGATTGAGTGATTCAAACCCAACCCTGAATCCTATCAATTGTTAATAGGGAGTTTAACCCCTTAAATATTCTATTATGCGCTCTTACACATTTTCCCAGGTGCTCAGCCAAACAGTCTGGAGAGCTAGGTACATCTACAGCAGCAGTTGACGGGATAATTGGGTTTGGACAAGCAAACTCATCCGTCATTTCACAGCTAGCGGCATCTGGGAAGGTGAAAAAGATATTCTCACATTGCTTGGATAATAAAAATGGGGGTGGCATCTTTGCTATTGGACAAATAGTTGAACCCAAAGTAAATTCAACACCACTTGTTCAAAATGAGTACGTAACATTTTAGGTTATCTATTTTCTTCTCTTCAATGTTGGACTTAATGAGAAAGTAATTATGTAATGATTTGTTTGCATTTAATTCAAAGCATTATGCATGTTTCAGCCTTGAACCTGCATCTTTAATAGCTCATGTTTTTAAAGAGTGAATATAATAGGGAAACAAGAGAAAAGTAAGGAATAGTTGGTACATGTCTATGCTTATGACTTAAGGCATCATTAAATTAGAAATCATTTTTCTTTCTATTTTCCTAGAACTTGCAATGAGGGAGGCGGGGAGGAGAGGGAAAGGAAGACCCAAATAGATATGGATTAAAGGAGTCAGGAGTGATATGCTTCTTCGTGGGTTGGGTGAGAGTGATTTTGAAGAGAGCAAAGTGGAGAGAGAATATTTGTGTCGAGAATTGATCTCTTTTCTTACTTTGTCATCCTTTTTTTGTATTCTTTATATTTCTTATGTTCTCTATCCTTTGAAATAATTACATAAATATGACCAAAATAAAGATGATTTACAAAAATATGACCAATGACTAGAGTAGTAATGAAATCATAGTAATTCATGTTCAAGTTTTGAACTTAAGTTACTACAACACCACATTGTAGTAATGAATAGTCATATTTATGTAAATATGTTTTATTTTAGTAATATTCTTGTAAAAAACCCTTATCCTTTTTATCTTATATTTTTTTAATCCTTTTAATTTGTCATTTCTATCTTTATCTTATACGAAATATTTATCTTTATCTTATCTTTTTTATCTCATCTTATCTTTTTATCTTTCTTATCTTTCTTATCTTTTTAGCTCCGATTTCATGTGTCAATTCAAGTTAGTGGACCTCAAACTCTTTTGGGACTAACGTTTGAATGTCGTTGTTGTTGATGTTGTATTTTCGTAGAACTTGCCTGGTTCTTCAACTTTTATGCATTCTTCTATCTGAGCTAAGGATGCCTTAATCTATGTCGTTTCTATCCTAGGCCACACTATAATGTCGTCATGGAACAAATGGAGGTGGGTGGTGATGTTCTAGACATTAGGACATCTTTCTTTGACTCCGGAGTTAGAGATATGATAATTGATAGTGGTACGACGTTGGCTTATCTTCCAGATTCAATCTTTAAGCCTCTCATGAACAAGGTGCATATTATACTTTTAAACATTGTTTACTAGTTTCTTTTGCAAAAAGCTTATTAATAGATACTCCTTCCACCCCGTTTCAATGTTCTCAATTGCGTCTTTTGGAACTTCCCATATCAAGGTTTCCATTCCATTTAGGCAATAATTAACTCTCTTAAATGACAACATTATCATCACATTAGAATTAATATACCAATAACAACATCATTATCATCAATTACCCCATTATATTATATATCCACTCAAACTACTTGTCAAATTACTTGAGTTAACTATTGCCTAAAAAAGCTTGCCATTTTTGAATTGGAACCATCAAGGAGGACGTAGGCATTAAATGTTCTAATACAAAATTTTGAGACCCTTGTTTATGGCTGTGTTGCTTCAGTTGATGGAAAAACAAAGTGATCTGAACATTCATACAGTTGAAGGGTTCAAATGCATCAACTACAATCGGAAGTAAGGTTTTTTCCCTTTTCCATATAAATTGCTTTAATAGTTCTTTGAGTAACAAAAGGACAGGGGCACTGTACTTATTTAATAAGAATTGCTTTAATATGTTTTGAGAAAAGAAATAGATGAAAAGAACCTTCATGTTTTTTATTGAGTTGTATTTTTGGTATCATGCTTGTCCAAAGCCAGGATAAAAGAGGAGGGTGTTGTGGTAGGCGCGTGACGACCAACAGTATCACTTAGTCACATCATATGACATGAATCGAAATATGAATATCGCTATAGCTAGGTCGTCGCCCGTAAGCGACGCGTCATCCTGGGGGTGGTGTAAAATGATCAAGGGCGCGCTACACTTTATAGGCCTGAGTGTGGTGATAAGAATGCTAAGGCTGCTAGGTCATCGCCTGGAAGCGACATGCCACTCCAATGCCTGGGGATGGTGTCAAATATGAAAGGGCATGGTGGGGGTCGTTGTGATGTGAAGAAGAGAAGACAGGGTGCTAGATTGTGTTTTGGGACGTGGAATGTTGGCTCTCTTATGAGATAATCATCTGAGATAGTCGAGGTTATGAAGAGGACGAATATCAACATAATGTGCATGCAAGAAACTAAGTGGGTTGGAGAAAAGGCACGTGAGATTAATCTCGGAGGTTTTGAGCTGTGGTATTCGGGGAGAGAGGAACAGAAATGGAGTAGGCATTATGGTGGCACATGATTATGTTGAGGGTGTGGTTGAAGTCTTTAGGAAGAACGATCGCATCATGAGCATTAAGTTGATAATAAGAGATGAGATCGTGTCCGTGGTAAGTGCCTATGCACCACAAGTGGGATTGGATGCATCTATCACTCAACAATTTTAGGAGGATCTTAAGGAAGTGGTGCGACGAGTGCCAAGGCGAGAGAAGCTGGTCATAGGAGGTGACCTCAACGGGCATGTGGGCCCAAGTCGTGATGATTTTGAGAGTATCCATGGTGGACATGGTTTGGGCACCAGAAATGAAGCGGTGAAGAACATTCTGGATTTTGCCTTGACATATAACTATATAAGTTGACTGTGATGAACATTTGGTTCAAGAAAAGAGACTCTCACCTTGTCACCTATAGAAGTGGGGCTAATAGTACCCAAATTGACTACTTTTTAGTACAAATGACTTGAAGAACTAACTACACTGATTATAAGGTCATCCCAGGTGAGAGTGCTGTCACTCAACATAGGATGCTTGTGCTTGATTTTCAAGGTAAAAAGAGGAGCCGGGTTAAGGTTCAATGCGAGCCAAAGATAAAGTGGTGGAGGATCGAGGGAATCTTCACCAAAGTTTTTCGCACGAAATGTTGGAGGAAGATGTATGAGCTATTGATAATGACGCACATGTGGATGATGTGTGCTTATCAATAGAGTCTACCATTAACAAAGTGGCGAAGGAGATACTCGGAGAATCTAAAGGACGTCTGCCACCAAAAAAGGACACGTCTTTGTGGAATGATGATGCGAAACAAGCAATAAGGACCAAAAGAGAATGCTATAAGAATTTGGGCAAAAGTTGGAGCAACGAGAACATAGAAGAGTACAAGGAGGCTAGAAGAAGAGCAAAGAAAGCTGTGAAGGACGCCAGAGGAAAAGTGAACAAGGAATTGTATGTAAAATTGGACTCTAAGGAAGGAGAAAAAGATATCTGTAGACTTGCTCGCCTTCGTGACCGTAGAACTCAAGATATCGGAAAAGTTAAGTGTGTGAAGGATGTCGATCAAAGAGTACTAATGGAGGATGAGGAAATAAAAGAGAGGTGTAGGTCATACTTTGATACCTTGTTCAACTGGAATAAACTGCAAGGTATTGATGATATTACTATACCAGAGTGTATGGTAAATCAGGACTTCGTGAGAAGGATTCAAACAACAGAAGTTAACGAGGCTATGAGAAAAATGGGGCGGAAGAAAGGAGTGGACCCAGATGACATACCGATCGAGACTTGGAGAAGTTTGGGAGAGAAATGCATTGAGTGACTAACACGTTTCTTCAACATGATTTAGAGAAACAACAAAATGTTAGGGGTGGTCAAAAATACCGAACCGGCATTGTACCGAACCGAACCGGTATGGTACTGGACCGAAAAACGGGGTTTGAAATGGACCGCAAATTTTTGTCCCGTACCGGACCGTACCGATTCTAAACAATGCCATGACCGGTTCTCATAAAATGAGAATCGGTACCGCACTGAACCACACTGAAGTATGGTTTAATTATTTATATTTTCATTTATACCATTACTTTGACTAGTGCCTTCACACTTTCACCGCCTTTGCTAGTTTATAGGAAGCTTGGAACCGAACCAATGTATGATTTAATTATTTAAATTTGTACTACTATAATTTATTTGAAATTTATTAATATAATATTACTTCTGTCCCAAATTGATTTGCAAAATTAACTTTTCTTGGTCAAACAGTTTAATTGTATTCACTTAATTGGGATGTCAATTTTTAATTATATTTAATTTAGAGTTCGCAACTTTGAAGAGATTTTAATGTAATTCTGAATATGTATATTTTAATTGTTAAAAATTGAATCAATTATCAATAAAGAGATTTTAACTTTAACATTGGTGACCAAAAAATATTGACTTTGCATATCAATTTGGGACGGAGGGAGTATGAAAATTGATAAATTGTGTGGATTTTTGAAGGAGGGCTAAACTTTAATTTCCACTTAAACATTTGGAAAATTTGGCATTGTTTGATATTAGTATGGCATGGTACCACACCGTTTGAAAATAGAACCGTACCGCACAGGTTTTGATCTAAGACCGAACCGAACCGAACCAAACCAGTTGAATAGTCATAGACTCATAGTACAGGTACAAGTTTGGCCAAATATTGGAATGGATCGGACCGGACCGCGCCCACCCCTACAAAATGCTAGTGACTTGGCGGAAGAGCACTCTCATTCCCCTATTTAAAAATAAGGGGGATGTACAAGAATGTGTCAACTATCGTGAAATTAAGCTTATGAGTCACACCATGAAACTGTGGGAGCGAGTGGTTGAGCAAAGACTTTGAAAGTGAGAAAATTTTGGAGAACCAGTTTGGTTTTATGCCGGACGCTCAACAACTGAGGTCAGTTACCTTCTTAGACAAGTTATGGAGAAGTATAGAGACACTAAAAAGGATCTGCATTTGGTGTTCATTGACCTAGAAAAGTCTTATGATAGGGTACCTCGAGAAGTCCTTTGGTGGGCCTTAACTAGAAAAGGCATATCACATAAGTATATCAGTACCATCATGGATATGTATGATACTTGTATTACAAGTGTCCGCACTAGTGTAGGGAGGACCCCAGAGTTCCCTATTACTATCGGAGTGCACCAAGGATCTGCTCCGAGTCCATTCTTATTTGTTATAGTCATGGATGAAATATATGGAGTGCAAGTTTGGTGAAGGTAGAAATAGTAGCAACAATGGGATTACTCTTGATGGTAAGGAGATATCGGTGTGTGATGTGTTCCGTTACTTGGGCTCCATAATTCAGAAGGATGGTGAATTAGATAGAGATGTATGCCATAGAACCAGAGCTGGGTGGATGAAATGGAAGAGTGCATCAGGATTTCTATGCGATCGAGGTATGACGACTAGACTTAAAGGCAAATTTTATCGAACAACAATTAGGCCTGCTTTAATGTATGGCGTAGAGTGTTGGGCAGTGAACAAATGCCACATTCAAAAGATGAGTGTGGCAGAGATGCGTATGTTGCGTTGGATGTGTGGACATACCAGAAAAGACCGCTTGAGGAATGAGATAATCAGACAAAAAGTGGGAGTAGAACCTATAGAAGATAAGATGCAGGAGTCTCGTTTGAGGTGGTTTGATATGTGCATAGAAGACCGAGTGATGCACGTGTTAAATGACTTGAGGGGTGGGGATAAGAGGCAGAAAAGAGAGGGAGGGAAGACCCAAACAGACTTAGATTAGAGGAATCATAACTGATATGCGTCTTTTTGGGTTGGATGAGACTATGACTTTGGAGAGAGCAAAGTGGAGGACGCACATCCGTGTGGATGATTGATGTCTTTTCTACCGTTCCTCTCTCTTCTCTTATATCATTTATCTTCTTTATCTTTTTATATTCTAATGTTATTTTTATGTTCTAGCTTTTTTATGTTTTTTTATCTTTCTATCTTTTATCTTTCTTATATTCTTATATTCTTATGTTATTGTTATCTTATATTTATTTTATCCTTTTTATCTTACTTCTTTTCCCTTCTTGTCCGTCTTCTCTGTTTGGCATCGATATCATAGATCGATTCATGTTAGCTGACCCTAAATTCTTTTGGGATTAAGGCTTGGATGTTGTTGTTGTTGTTGTTGTATTTTTGATATTTCTGTTAAGTTACTGTATGAAATTAATGTAATTTATTATGTAATTGCTGCTAGATATAATTATCCTTCAATTTTTTTATGGTGGTGTTGCAGTGTTGATGATGGGTTCCCTGTTGTTACTTTCACTTTCAAGGGTTCACTTAAGTTGACAGTTTATCCACATGATTACCTTTTCCCAGTTCACGTAAGCATTTTAAACACATTCCTGCATGATGCGTTTAACATTGCAATTCTGCATCAAGTTATTTACTTTCATAAGGGCAGTCATATGTAGAGTAAGAATCCTCTTCCAGGGAAATGGATTCTGAACCCTTAAGTTGACAGTTTATCCACATGATTACCTTTTCCCAGTTCACGTAAGTGTTCTATACACATGCATGCATGATGCATTTAACATTGCAATTGTGCATCAAGTTATTTACTTTCATAAGGGCAGTGATATGTAGAGTAAGAATCCTCTTCCAGGGAAATGAATTCTACTGCCTCCAGGTCTCTAAATTTTCACAATTTCCAGTTTATTTTCATTGTATGATCGGTACAGACCAAGAGTGGTAAAATATTCATAGCCTGCACCAAAAGTGGAATGAAATGAAAGCATCTGAACAAATATTGAAAAAGCCAAACTGTCATGGGACCAAAATTGGAAAGCTTTCATTTTCTAGAGGTCCTTTGGCATTTGACATCATTAGTTTATATTCCTTTATCCTTGTCACTTAAGAATTGGATATTTTTTTGCAGGATAATGAATATTGTATCGGCTGGCAAAGCAGTGGAATGCAGACAAGAGATGGGAAGGAAATGACCCTTTTGGGAGGTGATGTTTTAATCAAAATAGTGAATCAGCTAAGTAGTTATTTTTGTAAAGAACACACATCAGTACAGAGACCCAGCATGTCAGTGCTTTTTTAAATATCAAAGTTAATTATCAAATTGAGTGTATATCGAAGTGAATTATCAAAAAGTTTTAAAAGAAACTATCAGAATTGAGTATTAATGTGAAGCCAAATATTTTAGTCACCCCACATCGACCTAACATAAAAGTACAAAAGTGAATTATTATTTATATCAGGTTGATTTTTAGATAGAAACCTAAGCCTTAAGAGTATACACTAATATACCCCACACCCATGTTAAGTGAGCAATGTGGAGCACACATCAGACTGGACCCCACAAATGCAGTGCACACCATGACAATTTTTTAGTATCACTGGAGTTGGTGTAGTAGATCAGTAATTATTTACGTGAAACTGGTAAAAATGCTTAGAGCTTATATGCGATTCTCTTATAATCATTTCTTCCCATTAATAAGGGAGTTCATTATCAATTTTCGGTTTTATAGTAGCAAGCACATTCATCACATGAATGCATATTGTGTCTTTTGTCTGTTGCAGATCTTGTACTTTCTGGCAAGTTAGTTGTATATGATCTTGAGAACCAGACTATTGGCATGACTGAATATAACTGTGAGTCTTGCTGTTGATTAACTTGTGCTACATTCACATTTTGTTTTGTCCTGTGCTCTGTGAAGTCTTGTTATGTTCATACTTATCCGTGATAGTGTACAAGTGGGATAGTTATAGTGAATTGTTATTATCAACTTATCCTCCCTGGAAGGGGGGCTCGGCGCACCGGTTAAGGTGTTGGTGTGTGTCCAAGGGGTCACGATTCATGGTTCAAGTCTTGGAAGTGGCCTCTTGTCAAAAATAATTTGATAGCGGGAGACTTGTCCACCGTTATGGTGGGACCCTTCCCCAGACCCTCGGCTTGCGGGATGCCTTCGTTCACCGGGCTGCTCTTTATCAAATTATTCTCCCTCACCTAAAAAGTGTACCCGTCTCAAAGGGGTACATTTGGACTTCCATAGGAAAACTAAAGCACGGATCCAGAAGTGATTCACTTTTCATTTGCTTTGAATGCAATCACTTTGTGAGTGTAATTACATTGTTTTTGGAAGTAGAGAGAAATCATTAGACATCCGTAGTTGGAAGTAGACGTATGTGTGTACAAACAAGACACTCAGAACAATTGTATGTGATTGGCAGGTTCGTCAAGCATCAAAGTGAAAGAGGAAAGCTCTGGAAATGCATATAGTGTGGGTGCCCATGATATTTCAGTTAGTAATTCTGGCCGGATGAACACTGGAAATTCCTATATACTCTTTCTCTTAATATCCTTCTTGTGCAGTTTCATCAACTAAGATGTCACAGACCACCACACTATTCACAAGTATCCGTACGATGATGATATGTATGTAAATAATACACACATTGAGGTGCAGTAAGAGTGAAGTGTGTTATGTTCTCCGGTGTGCTTTATTATATACGGTACTCAACAAGGGGAAATCAAAGTTTTGTGAAATGTGTTTAGTTAATGGCTGCTACAAACTATATACGTAGGAATAACATACACATTCTTTCTCTCTGCCTCTGTTTTGGCCAAATTCTTGTGTGATATATTAATCCCGTGATTAAAAAAATATGTCAAATTATCCTGTGCTATAATTATTCATTTCAAAACTTCCTCCAAGAATAAATTTAACAACTTAAATATCACTTCTTTATATTATGATAGAATATGCAAGTAAATTTACCAAAATCTCTAAATTATACATTAATTTTCTATTTATTTGGCAATTAAATTTGTTCATAAAAGTGTTTTGAGCATGAATAATTGTAATACAAGAGATTGATGCATCAAATTTGTATGTACGGTCTAGTTTGTGTCATTTAAATGTGACTTTTAATTCAGTAAAGTAATTTATACTACACATTAATCCGTTAAAAAAACACTCAAATGTTGAAATTTGACGTTAGTATGCTGCTTTTTAGAAGTAACTCCAACTTTGCAAGGCCCCGAAAGTGACATCTAGTGGGAGGAAAAAGAGCTTGGTTATGTTTTATAAATTAGGCTACCACAATGCTATGTTGGTTTTAGGTCCATATAATTGTTTTTCACTCGAAACCTATATATACGCTTGAAACTAAAAGTTTTCTTTAATCCTTGAGAGATTCTAACCTTTTATCTTCCCAAGTGTTAGATATAAATAATATAGAATCATCTAGCTAGAAAAGCTACTCGCTATTAATGTCTCACTTTCTAAAACTAGTACTCCGTTTAGTAGATCCACAGTATGGATTACTGGAGGAATTCAAGACCTTGGAGAGTTGGAGGGAAGAATATTAAGAAGGAAGGCGGCCATGGACAGGGCATGATGCCGAAATGAAAGAGGCATGTATGATGGATGCATGAGCGAGAAGAGTGCGAATGATATTGTTTATGGAGTTTATGTGTCTTCCAGCCTTTCCATTTTGAGGAGATGTATGAGGACACGAGAGTCGGAATAACATGCCATTTTTCTCAAAGAAATCCTTAAGAGTGCCATTGATGTATTCCGTACCATTATCACATTGGAAAGTTTTAATGTCACGTTTAAATTGTGTTTTGACTAAAGCATGAAATAGCAAAAAAAGGTGTTTGACCTGGGATTTCTTTGTAATAGGAGAAGTCCACAAAAATTTGCTATAGTCATCAAGAAAAAGAATATAACAACAATGGCCGGATGTACTAACAATGGGAGACGTCCAAAGATCACTATGAATAATGTCAAAAGGAAGATACGTAGAAGAAAATGATTTTTTAAATGGTAATTGAGTATGTTTTCCAAGAGGACAAGAGGAACAAAAAGTTCTACAAGCTTTATTATGATTAATCAACTTTTTATTACAAAGAGATTTAATAATGGTATCACCAGGATGACCTAAACGATTGTGCCAAATATCTGAATGCAAAGTGGTAAAAGCTGATTGATTGCTGGGTGACATGGCTTGTGAGGTGGAAAAGAGTGGATATAAGTCCTCAATGCTGTCACATCTCATGAGGCTGCTCCCGGTCTGCACTCGACGTCATGTGTGATGTGGCCTCGGTATCCATGTAATAGTTTCCATCAGGTTGAGAAACTGAGAGAGCATGCATATCAGCCTCAATGTTAGTAGGTGTATAGCTTGTTGCATTGTAGGCTTGGGGGCGTGGCCCGAGAAATCAAGGTCCAGAAGAAGGGCCCAACCAGACTGCCACATCTGCTGCCACTGTGGCTGGAGTGTTGGTGGACGTGGCGGCTGAGATGAACTGGTCCCATTTGTGCCTTGTGACGCCTTCTTCTTCCAATTATTTTTGGAAGTGTTCTTGCTTTCGTTGTTGGTGTTGTTGGTCCCTGTTGTTGAACGATTATTTAGCAGCTATGAATGCAAAATAGAGAAATGATGAATGAGAGAGTCTTCATTAGAATGATATATCAGATTTCGCACAGATGAATTTTTTCTCACACAAAATATCAGAACTAGAGCTGCGGCTACTGTATATCGAAAATGATTCAGCGGAAAGTTAGGCGTTGTACATCCTAAGCGCATATTTATATGCGTAGGGTGTACAACCTTGCATGAAAATGGGCCTTTACATAAATGACCTTATTCCTTTCTAGGTTATTCTAATAAATAGATAAAAATACCATAAAAGGCTAACTAAACAAGGCTATTTCTAGCAAACTTGATCACAATAAAAATATCTTCAACGATCTCCCCCTTTGTGATCAAGTTCTGCCTTGCTTTTCTTTATATCTGCTTCTTGAAATAATTCTTTCTCAGATTCAGTGCATGCTCATATTGTCGTAGTGACCTTCGTTTGTCAAGTTGTTGCTCAATTGCTTTCAGCATGTTGCAGAGTCTGTCGAATTCATCAAGTTAAGCTTTCGATGCATTAACAAGTCTTGTTTGTATTTCTTCTTTCTTTGGTTGCAGGTTGTCCCAGATGATCTTCAACGTCCCATCACAATACTTGGCAATTTCTTCTATCTTCACTAGGCACTTCTCTTCATTGTGGTTCAGATAGATTATCACAATTGGCGTGTCAAAGATGTGATAAGGTGGAAGCTGTTCAAGCTTTGGTCCGTACATAATTAGCCTGGTGAGATTTGCCTTTGGGATGTTGTTTTCTAGGGTCATTTGAAGATCATGGGAAACATGGACTCTGACTTGGCGTATCATGAATCTTTTGATTGCATCGAAGCCTTCTTTCACCACTTTGTTGCTACTAACATGGAGATCCCTGTATGCCATGAACATTTGATAAATATCGTCCATCTTTTGCAGGAAGAAGTCATTCTCTTGGCAGGTGAATTGTGTCCCGTCAGTGCATTCTAATCGGTAGATAGAGAGTTTTATTCCTACGTGATTACCTTCAACCACGTCTAGAATTTTCCAAATGGGATACTTGAATGTCTGTAGATCGTGCTTCAGGATCTCACGTTGTTTACCCATTGATCTGTGACTTAGCACGTGTTGATGTCCTCCGATGTGTTTCCCTTTGAGGTGGGTCAGACCACGGGCTTTCAATTCATCAAGTTGCTTGAGTTTCTCTGATTTTCGCCATATTCTCTTTCTGAGTTCCTCTTGGAAGGGGACAGTTATTCTGATGTTTTCTCAAGGTTTTTAATTCTTTGGTGGCACAGTTTCTGTTAGTTTGATCACCTTGGATAGCTCTCATGGAGCTTCTTTATAGTTCTCCCCTTCTTTGAGTTCGTCTTCATCAAGCCGAATGATGTCAGCAACACGTTTGGTGAGCAGCTCGCTAATGAAGAGTCCTCTTTGCATATCATACTGCTCAGTTTCTTGTCTAAGTTCGTCTCATTCCGTCCATACGCCACTCCATTTGTTGTCAATTAGGATGTCTTCGAGTGATCGTGGATGCATGGAGATGGAAGGGTAGAGGAGGCTTGCTGCTGCTGTGGTGACCTGTTAAAAGTAGAACTGAGATCACTAGGATTGCACGTTATCATCAGCTTCGAACTAGGTTTTGACTGATGGCCTGAGTAAAAAGATGTACTAGAAGTACAACTTCAGGACTTCCACTTCATCCTTGGTCAACATCTATAAAAGATGCACCTCAGAGTGTTCTGTCTAGCACCACCAGGTTAGAGATAATAGTGTTAGAGGCTTGGTTTTTGTGTTGGGTGGAGGAAGTTGGTTGTTGGTTGGTTGAGCAGAAGGGCTGGTTTGGCTGCAGTTGGGTGTGGCTAGTAGAAGCAATGATGTGAGTTTTCTCGCACTTAAAATAGATCGTAGTAAGGGGTAGAAGTACGAGTATCGTCTCCGCAGGGACGTTAAAAGGGAATTAAGAATTAAATAAATTCAGCGATTAAAATGAAATGAAATAAATGCGATGTGCGAGATTTGATTGATTGGGATAATTAAATTGCGAATAAAGAAATTAAACTAATGGGTTCTTTCTAATTAATGATGATAGGGAACATGGATTGATTCCGGGGTAATCAGATTTCTTGAAGATCAGGTTTAATTACATGAAATTAACTTAATTGAGCCTAGCTAATCATTACTAAGTTCGTACCGCTCTCACGGCGTAGAGTACAATAATTTAGGGGACCAGGCTGATCTCTCATGCGGCAGGATCCTAAACTATTGCCAAACGAGTGAGTTTACGGCCCGTTAATCGCTACTAATCTCGTAGCGAACGATTAAGTGTGTATGAAGGTGTCCTAGAATAAACTAGATCTCTCTTAATTTATTCTACAAGCAATTGTAATTCTAGCCACAGTTCTAGGTTACAAGAGATATCAGTTAAATCATTCAAACACAACTTAAATAAAGTGGAATTAATTCTATAATTAATCCATCATGAATTTAACCATACATCATGATTAACCCCTTCATCAACCCCAAATACCTAATTAAAACTACTCACAACTCATAATTGAATAATCAATAGAATTGAGAAGAATAGAAATAATTGTCATTAATTAAAAATTAGGAACTTACAAATAATCCAAGGGGATTGAAGAACAAGATGGAAAAGTAGAAGAAATTTCGTTCTTAAACATCTCTCTAAACTCCGTGACCAAAAACAGGGGTTTACAGATTGTTTAAATAGAAAACAGATCAATCCGGGCCGAAATAGGACACCTGGGGACGAAAAACTGCCAGGCACGGCGTGCCTCACTGGTGGGCACGACCGTGCCTGACCTCCAGGGAGTTGGTATCCATTTCTTCTATAGGCACGACCATGCCAAAGGCACGACGGTACCTTCCCTTCCGAATTTGATAACGCTTCCTTCCTGAAAGTTGAAGATAATGAAGTATCCTATCCACCACAACTTGCAAAACTGTATTTGGATCATCCAATCAAACTCTAAGAATAAAATGGTGGAAGGTCACATTCTGAAATGTCAACAACGATTATCTAACTTCTTTGTCTGGTTTCACCTTTCTCCTCTCAGATTCTAGCAATTGTGTCTTCATATGATTTGTAGCCCTTGAAGTTGGCTTTCATATGGAACTTAAATAGTGTTATGTAAATGTTTCTACAAAAAGATATGCTTGAACGATTGACAGAAGGTCATCCTGAACGTTGTTTTCAAGTTCTATTCCTCTTCATTTGATCCCGTAGCCAATCCTAGAGCTCTTTTATCATCGAATCTTCATCGTGAACCTCCCG